TCAAGGCTCAGGGGTCCAAGATTATCTTCTGTGTCTGTGTTAATTGGTTTCCCTTTTCTTTGTTGAAGAGGGTCTGTGCAATCCTTCTGCCTAGTCCGCAATCTTGTCCCGCCTCCTCCCAATTTTTCTTAAATCTTCCTTATTCTTTGTCCAGTTTTTACATGTATATGAAGTGATTGAAAATACCATGGCTTGGGTAAGGTGCACCTTAGTCTTCAAAGTGACATCTTTGTTTTTTATCACAATAAAGGTAGACTATCATCATCCCCATTTTCACAAGTGAGGAACATATAGCATTGTTGTTGCTGCTGTTGAGTTGATTCTGACTCATAGAGACCCAATGTGTGTCAGAGAACTGTCTCTACAAGGTGTTCAATGACTAATTTTTCAGAAGATTGACAGACCTTTCTTCCGAGGCATCTCTGGGTGGACTCGAACTACCAATCTTTAGGTTATCAGCCAAGTACTTCAACCATTTGGACTATGAAAGGGTTCCACCTATAGCTTAGAAGTATACACAACTTGCTCAAGATCATTGTTCTGGGTACCTAGTGCTGCTCTGACAAGAAATATAACACAAATAGGATGGCCTTAACAAACAGGAGTTTATTCTTACAATTTGGAGGCTTTAAGTCCAAGTTCAAAGAGCCAGGCTCTAGGGGCCGGATGAAAGCCTCCCTCAACCTTGGGGTCCAACTCTGCCTCCTGCTTCCTTACTGGAGCTAGAGACGTTTCTTTACTCAGACAGCTGCTGGCTGCTGAGGTTGCCAAGCCCAAGGTTGGCAAGTAAAAAGGCACAGTCCCAATGTTACCAAACCACACGGCAGGCCATTAATTTAAATCCATTTTAAGTCTCAAGGTTGGCAGAGCACAGCAGGCTGCTGAACAATGACATGGCTACATGGAGGGTCCAAGCATGCCAAAAGCTAGAGACCATCCCCAAAGCTGCTGCTTATATACGGGAAGCAGATCACATACCCAAAGGCAGCTACTCAGCTGCTTGTGGTAGATCCCACCATGGAGCAGATTGCCAGTCTCATCGTAACTACCACCAGCTGCCCAGCCACTCAACCAGGTCCAGCCAAGTTGACACACAAACATAACTACCACAATCCTATAGTTTCTAAGCATATAAACTGAGAATGGGATCTAAGACTTCCTTACTCTGAAATCATCATTTTTAAGCTGTTACGCAATTTTGTAAATGATTCCCCCATCTCTCGCTCTCTCTCTCTTTTTTTTTTCTTTTTTAATAAATTACCTGTATGAAACATCCTCAGGCAATTTTTCCTTGTTTTCTTCTTTATCCACCACTTCCTCAGAATTTACTCCGTTTGGCTCAGGTTTGAAAAGTGTTTCATAAGAAACACTTTCAGTTTTTCTAACCTATAGAATAAGAAGAAAACTTTTCTTTTTCAAAACATTCTTAGCACATTTACATTTATCAGTAAATCAAAAATGATTCCAAATGAAAAGGCTTAATTATAGAATGTTTTAATTGTTAAGTGCCATCGAGTTGATTCTGACTCACAGCAACCCCATGTGACAGAGCAGAAGTGCCACATAAAATTTTCTAGTCTGTGATCTTCATGGGAACGGATCTTCAAGTTCTGGGAAGCCTCTGGGTGGGTTTAAATTGTCAGTCTATCAGTTAGCAGCTGAGCACTGACCCACTGTGCAAACAAGGATCCTTAATTTATTTAGATAAAAAAATACCATTCCCAAACATTCACTGATAATAAATTTAGATCCAACTATATTAAAAATAGCTAACATTCTGCACTACTAGGACAGCAAATGTTATTTGCTGAAAAGGATGATGAACGCTGCTAAGGGCTGGTTGCTTTAGAATAGAAGGTTATCTAATTTGGCTAACAGCAATTTATTCTAGCTTTGATTGATCATGTTTTAAATTTACAATTAACTCATTTTTTGGATGTGGCTGAAAATATCAATCACATTAAATCATACCTATCATTTGATTTAATTCTAAGGAATCTGATTGAATGTAACATATTTTATTTTCAGCTTTACCACTTTACCTAACCTTCAAAAATCGACCCCTTAAGGGAATGTCTGTACTAAAATAATCTCTCTACCTCTTTGCTGAAGTCTGCATTTTGAGATTCAGCTTCTTTCAGTTGAACAGTCTCTGCTGCAGAGGTTTCATGGTTTGGCTTTACATCATTTTCTCTAATGACAGTGTCTGGTTCCTTGATGTTACTTGATAACAAGTCATCCTTCCTTCGACTCTGCCCAAAAGATATAGCATGTTTAGATTCATGCTGAGCATTCATGTATATTTTACACATAGTGCCTGCCAATTTAAAAACCAACACCATCAAAAAACAACTGAATCTCTACTCCTGAGGGTAACTTGTAGAAATCAAGAGGGAAATAATATATATACATATGTATACATAGAAGCTCTGGTAGCACAGTGGTTAAGGGCACAGGTGCTTACAGAAAAGGCAGCGGTTTGAACCCACCAGCTACTGTGTGGGAGAAAGATCAGGCAGTCTGCTTTCGTAAAGATTTTATGGCCTTAGAAACTCTATGAGGCAGTTTGACTCTGTCCTATGGGATCACTATGAGTCCAAATCAACTCAACAGCAATGGGTTGTGTTTATGTTTGTTTACATATAGCAGTATTCCACACATTTTCCTCATTTTTTCGTCTTCAATCATCTATTTGTAATTTGTAGAATGTGCACATCAATTGCTCTGTTGAATCTCCATTAACATCCCCTGCTCTTGATTAGATGGGAAGATTTCTATGAGGACATGAAAGGACTTTTAGCTGATGTATCTAGTTTTTGTCATTATAAACTCTCAGATACTAACAACAACAACAAAGCCAAACTCACTGCCATCAAATCAATTCTGACTCATAGCAACCCACTTCGGGTTTCTGAGGTGGTAAATCTTTACAGAAGTAGATTGCCTTCCATGGAGTGGCTGGTGGGTTTGAACCTTCAACCTTCTGGTTGAAGTCAAATGGCTTAGGAACTGCACCACCAGAGCTCCTTCAAATACAAAACAGTAAGCAAAAATTCTACCAATAGGAGTAGACCACACAGAAGCTACTGAAAAGGTTCACTAGGCTGCTATCTCTGGATTTATAAAGACAAGCCATAAACAGATATCATGAAAGAAAAAGGTGTCACTTGACAAGGCTGAAGTTGATATGTGATCAGCAGTAACTTTGGTTCTCATGGGAAAAGTACCCTAAAGACAAATAATCAGTAAACACTGTTAGAATTTTTATTTACAAATTATCTCCTGCTACACTTTAGGTCATGTTACATTATGACACAGAGTAATACACAATTTTTTAGACAGGGAACTGGGGACTATCTTGGTAACTTGTATGACATTTTATTTTTGTTGAAATCACTTTTTATCTTAGTATTTCTAAGCAGCAGGCAGGGCACACTGTATTATTACCTGTTACACAGTAGCAGAGACTGAGTCTACAACTGGAGCAAGAGCTTCCAATAAGTAATTTAGCTCTGGTCTCTGGTCTCTTGAACCCCTAGCATTATTTCCATTTTACTAACTTGTCTTATAAGAAGAATTAAATAATATAACTGTCTATTCTATAGACCTTTAAAAACCCATCAGGTAACTCTAGATTCGAGTGATGGTAGATTTTTTACACACAAGGATGATCATAAGCAATTGATATACCTGGGGAATCCTGAATAGATTATCCCTTAAATTTGAAGGACTCTGTAAGGGTGACTGGTCTGAAGCACCAATAACATTTAATCCTTTTTTCTTTTCTCGTAGGCATGCTTGTTGATGTCTCCTGATTCTTTCCATTTGCTCTTCCACAGTCATCCTAGGTCGGGTACTTTCAGCCAAACAGAGCTGTTCTACTGCGCTTCTTGGCCGTTCCTTCAAATTAAACACATGAATATATAAGCGAAGAATTAGAAATATGATGGAAAAAAATATATGTCCTAAAATGCTTTATTTTGTTTTCAAAATCAAAAGTGTAAATTTTGAATGTCATTTAGATAAAACTGGGAAAGCAAATAATGTTACTTTATCCTGAACTAGAACTCAGGGATGTATGGTCAGTGATGGAAAGGGAGACAAAGAGTGGAGAGAGAGAAGAGGCACTGACCAAGGGTATTTTGCTGTAAAAATAACAGTAACAAACAAGACAGAGTATGGCAGCTCTGCAGTGAGCTCACTGAGCTTACTCTATACTGCCCAACAGCCCAACCCACTGCCTGGAAGCAGGAAAATTCCTATGGTTGGATGCTACTGTTGTTGTCAGGTGGCATCGTGTTGGCACCAACTCATAGTGACCCTGTGTACAACAGAATGACACTGCTCAGTCCTGTGCCAGCCTCAAAATCCTTGCCATGCTTGAGGCCACTGTTGCAGCCACGGTGTCAATGCTTCTCACAGAGGGTCTTCCCCTTTTTTGCTGACCTTCTACCTTACCAAGGATGATATCCTTCTTCAGGGAATGGTCCCTTCTGACAACGTGACCAAAGCACAAGAGATGAAGTCTGGTCATTCTTGCTTCTAAGGAGCTTTCCAGTTGTCCTTCCTCCAGGCCAGATTTGTTTGTTCTTCTGACAGTTCATGGTATTTTCAGTATTTTTTGCCAACACCACAGATAAGGCATCAACTCTTCTTTGGTCTTCCTTATTCATTGTCCAGCTTTCACATGCACACAAGACAACCGCAAATACCAAGGCTTAGGTGAGCTGCACTTTAGTCTTCAAACTGACATATTTGTTCTCCAATACTTTACAGAGATATTTTGCAGATTTGCCCAGTATAATACAATGTCTGCTTTCTTGACCGTTGCTTCCATGGGCACTGATTGTGGATCCAAGTAAAATGAAATCCCTGACAAGTCCTCAAGTCTTCTTCACTTTCAGCAAGTAAGGTTGTGTCATTTGCATATTGCAGGCTGTTAATGAATCTTCCTCAAAATCCTGATGTGCATTCTTCTTATAGTCCAGCTTCCTGGATTATTTGCTCAGCATACAGCCTGAATACGTATGGTGAAATGATATAACACTTATACACACACATCCTGATTTTAAACCATTCAGTAGCCCCTTTCTCTGTTCAAACGACAGCCTCTTGGTCTATGTACAGGTTCCTCATCAACACAATTAAGCATTCTGGAACTCCCATTCTTTACAATGTTATTCATAATATGTTATGATTCAATTTATATGGTCAAATGACTTTCCATAGTTAGTAAAACACAGGTAAACATCTTTCTGGTATTCTTTACTTTCAGCCAAGATCCATCTGACATCAGCAATGATATCCCTATTTCCATGTCCTCTTCTAAATCCAGCTTGAGTTTCTGGAAGTTCTCTGTCAATATATGGCTGCAACCATTTCTGAATTATCTTCAACAAAATTTTACTTGTGTGTGATATTGATATGGTTCGATACTTTTCGAATTTGCTGCATCAACTTTCTTTGGAATGGGCATAAATACGGATCTCTTCCAGTTGGCTGGCCAGGTAGCTGTCTTTCAAACATCTTGGCATAAATGAGCGAGCACCTCCAGCACTGCATCTGTTTCTTGAAACATCTCTCAGTAGGTATTCCATCAATTCCTGAACCCTTGTTTCTTGCCAGTTTCTTCACGGCAGCTTGGACTTCTTCCTTCAATACCATTGGTTCTTGATCATATCCTACCTCCTGAAATGGATGAACTCATCAATCAATTCTTTCTGGTATAGTGACTCGGTATATTCCTTCCATCTTCTTTTGATGCTACCTGCATTGTTCAATATTTTGTCCATAGAATTTTTTAATATTGCAACTCAAGACTTGAATTTTTTCTTCAGTTCTTTCAGCTCAAGAAATGCCAAGTGTGTTTTTCTCTTTTGGTTTTCTAATTCCAGATCTTTGGACATTTCATTATAACTTTACTATGCCTCCTTGAGCCACTCTTTGAAATCTTCTGTTCAGCTCTTTTATTTCATCATTTTTTTTTCATTCTCTTTAGCTACTCTCTGTTTAAGAGCCAGCTCCAGTCTCTCTTCTGACAACCATTTTGGTCTTTTCTTTCTTTCCTTTTGCTCTTTTCATGTATGATGGTGTTAATGTCATCCCACAGCTCACCTGGTCTTCTGTCACTGGTGTTCAATGTGTCAAATCAGTTCTTCAGATGGCCTCTAAATTCAGGTGATATACACACATTCAAGGTAGTATTTTCACGGACTTGTTTTAATTTTATTCAGCTTTAATTTGAACTTGAATACGAACAACTGCTGGTCTGTTCAATAGTCAGCTCTTTGCTTTGTTCTGACTGATGATACTGAACTTCTCCTTGCCTCTTTACACAGATGTAGTTGATTTGATTCCTGCATATTCCATCTGGCAAGGCCCATGTGTATAGTCGCTGTTTACACTGTTGAAAAAAGGTATTTGCAATGAATAAGTCACTGGTCTTGCAAAATTCTATCTTGTGGTCTTGGGTGTCATTTCTATCACCAATGCCATATTTTCCAACTGCCAGTGCTGCTTCTTTGTTTCCAGCTTTGGCATTCCAATCACCATTAATAATCAATACATCTTCACTGCATGTTTGGTCAATTTCAGACTGTGGAAGTTCGTAACAATCTTCAATTTCTTCTTGTTTCACTTTAGTGGTTGGTGCATAAATTGGACTGATAGTAGTATTAATTGGTCTTCCTCATAGGCATATGGATATTATCCTATCACTGATAGCATCATACTTCAGGATAGATCTTGAAATTTTTTTTTGCCAACGAATGCGATGTTATTTCTCTTTAATCTGTCATTCCTAGCATAACAGACCATATGACTCTGAGATTCAAAGTGGCCAAAGTGTACATTTCAGCTCATTACTGCCTAGGATACTGATCTTTATGCATTTCATTGCATTTTTGACAACTTCCAATTTTCCTAGATTCATACTTTCTACATTCTACATTCCTGTTATTAATTGATGTCTGCAGTTGCTTTGTTGCATTTTGAGTTGCTTCACATCACTGGCCTGAGACTGATAGTCTACAAGTACCGTAAGGGAAAACTGAAAAGAACATCGAAGAGACTTTTGTTACTGTAGAAACCTTAAATTGGAAGAGGCAAGGAAGCACATCTACTAAATATCAAAGATTTATTTTATTTTAATGAAAATATAATGCTCTAAATAATATATTAACTGTTAAAAGACTAAGAGAGGAAACACTGTATTTTATAATCAGTAATAAAACAAGGAATATTTGCTTCTTATAAATCTCACTGTCATGTTTGAAAACGTAATCTGTTTTTCTGTCTCTCTATCTACCTATCTACATACTTATTCATTTCTATGCTTTTTCTCATTTGTTTACAGTTAATTTTGTATGAAATGAAGGGTCACATTAAACAAGCCATTCTTATTTCTCACTTTCTTCCTAAAGATGTGAGCTACAGGTCTAGGACTGTTTTCTACTCTACAAAATAAAATAAAATAAAATAAAATAAAGCCAAACTTACTGCTATCAAGCAAATTCTGCATCATAGTGATCCTATAGGACAGAATTGTTGCATAGGGTCTCCAATGCTGTAAATATTTACAGAAGCAGATGGCCTCATCTTTCTCTTGCAGAGTGGTTGGTGGGTTTGAACCTCCAACCTTTGGTTAGTAGCTTAATGCTTTAAGTACTGCACCACTACAGCTCTTTACTGAATGAAATAAACATCTTAAAAAGCTCAAGTAGAAACTAAAAGGACAGGGTGATAACGAAAAGTCTTAATATGCAAAATTGATGATCCTCATTTATTGCACAATAAAGCACATATACTTTTACAAAAAAAAGAAACTTTTGAGAGGCATGTCTAACACTCATCAAGGAAATTTTTAGAGGGGTCAAAGAAAAATTTTAAAGAGATATAGTGCAACTGTAAGGAATAGACTCTATACCCAGCTGGTCAAAAGAAACCTAGATTAGTTATTGACTAAATCTATACTCCGAAATGTTAATTACTTAACTGTATTCTTACAAATTAAGATTATTACTTTTTTTTTCAGTATGTAATAAAATTCTGATAAAATCCTAGAAATGAAAATGTATATAAGAATGTTATAAATACGTTTAAAAATCTTTCTAGAAATCAATTTCTAGTTAAATACCGTTCTTGGATCCATCATCTTCTTAGTTTTTCTTAAGGTTACATATGAAGCTATTGTTGAAGATTCGGGTGTTGGTGATTTCGTTCTTGGAGGGACTACTCCAACTGGAAAGTGGGAACCTAAAAATCAAAATACCAGAAAGCTCTACAAAACATATCTCACAGAACATTGCTTTCTTTTGACATATTCAATTTGAGGCTTTTAAATTCAGAAGGCAAATTAATTGTATGAAAAGAGCCAGGAAAAATGTAGTAGGCACTCACTAGGTATTTATCTAATAATTTAGCCAATGATATTACCAGACAAATTTAGGGTTATAACATAATAATGTTCTATAGATTAACAGATGACATTAATAACTGAAAAATAACTATAAATTTCTTTCCTTTGTTGGACTGAGTCTCTGTGATCCTAACTAGTTTACTATTGAAGTAACCTTTTATTCCTTCTAGTAACATTTAATGGATAATATATCCTCACAAAATCCTGTGAAGAACATAAAGAAGGTAAATGAAGTGAAGCGTACCAAACCAAAACCAAACCCACTGCTATCAAGATGATTCCAACTCATAGCGACCCTACAGGACAGAGCAGAATTGCCCCACATGGTTTCCAATGCTATAATCTTTATGGAAGTAGATAGACAATGTTGATCTTTCTCCTGTGGAGTGGCTGGTGGGTTCAAAATGCAGACCTTTTGGTTTGCAGCTGAGTTCTTTCACCATTCTGCCACTGGGTCACCCTGAAGTATAGCATCCATGAGTTAATTTATTTCCTCATGTCCATAAAGCTTGTGGGCAGCATGGCTATATCTAGCTCCTGCTTTCTTTTCTGCTTGGCTTCACTAAGCGTTCACAATACTTTGAGAGGTTGTCAGGACTTCAGTTCAATCCTCTCCCAAAGATTAGGGAAGTTATGGCTCAGAAGGGTTAAGAGATTTAGTTAAATAATCTTAATTTCTGCTTTAATGAAAAACTTACTAACAATGTTAGAAATGGTTAACTATAGGTCGTCATCATCACTTTCTCTTTCGTATTTTTCAAAATTTTAAAGTGAACAAACACCACTTGTATAACTAGAAAATAAATCAATAAATAATAAACAAATACATCATTAATTTAAAAACAAACAAACTCACTGCCATCGAGTTGAACCTGACTCATAGCGACCCCTCCTTGGGTTTCCCAGGCAGTATCACTACGGAAGTAGATTGCCCAACCTTCCTTCCAAGGAGTGGCTGGTGGGTTTAGAACACCAGCCTTCTGGTTAGCAGTCAAAAGCCTTAGGCACTCTGCCACCAGAGATCCCACATCATTAATAGAACAATAAAAACAAATAGAAGTTAATATAAAATATATTTTGACCAAATAATTTCTAAATTTGAAATATTTTACTAGTGGATTTTCATGTCATTGCCATTTTCTGTAAACAGAATATATACACCATCTTCCAGTGAGTGTCTTCTAGTGAAGACACCAGTAAAAGAACACCTTGAGAGCTATAGTTTTTTTTTAAAAACAAGAACAATTGTTTTTCTTTTTTAAAAAAAGCAATAATTTTGAGGTGTGTAAGCAGAAAAAAAGAAGTCTCTCTCTTTTTTTAAAGACACAATAGATAAACCATTTAGGGCCATTTTAGGTTATAAATCAAACAATCAACAGCTTAATTCAGGTTTAAAATTATTTATAAGCTCAGAGTATATTTAATACAGAGTTGTACATTTGAGGACGTGAAGAGCTGAACTGATATATAGTACAGGCAATTTTGCAATCCAAATAATGAAAAAGGACTTGTATACTGTTTAGTGTCCCTTTTAAAAAAGAAATCCCACTTAAAGTCATTTGGCACAAAATATTACACTATAATTGACTAGTGTATTTAAGACATTTATTTAAATGAGATCCTATGATTTTATTATAAGTAAAGGAAAAAAAAATACAACTTTAAAAATAGGTAAAACTTCCAGGAAGAATTCAAATCACATGACAGTATATGATGTAGATGATACAATGTTTTTGATCAGTAAATACATCCATCAGTGGAACGAATGATGGCTAATTTACTTCTGTTTTTCCAAGTCAACTAAATTCTTATTAGTAAATTAAAAAGCACTTACATGATCACTTATTAAATTATTTCTAAATTTTATAAATTTAACCAGTTACATTTATCACATATACATTATGTGGTATCATGAGTACAGAAACTACAAAAGAATGGAATAGAATATGCAAAATTAAAGAATAAAACATACAGTTTTTATTTTATATATGTTTGAAATACTTCCTCTAAAGAGGAGGCTACAATTCAGAGGATTCCAGGGATTAAATATGTCACACATATGACAAATGACATTTCTCTTCCACATCCTGTCTGAAGGGGGCAGACACTATTCAGCTTCAGCAGACCAGTGCTGTTGGCAAACAGGCAGTCTGGCCAGATTTTTGAGGTTTTAAGAAAAGCTACAAAGTTCCAATTTTAAATGTTCACAATCAATCTAGTTTCTTTTTGTTGGGGGGTAAGGAAATTTAAAAAATTACAACAACCTTATTTATAAAAATGAATGCAAAAAATCTGAAATAAATCATTATCAAATAGAATCCAGCAGCCAATTAAAGGAAAAATATATTATGATTACATAAGACTCATCAGTAAATCTATAAATTATATCTTAGTATATTAATAAGAGAAAAAAAAATTATTAAGACATTTAATAAAATTCAACATCCTTTCATCATAAAAAATAGATACCTCCATAATATAAAATGTAGATATCCAAAAAACAAAAAATCAGTATCATGATCATGGGAAATAATTTAGAGCCATTTCCAGTAAAGTCAGGAACAGAATTAAGATAATCCACTCTAATCTCTATATATTAACACAATTGTAAGCTACTAGTGCCAATAAAGTAAGTAATAGGTATATAATTTAGAAAGCAGAAAGTAAAATTATAATTATGAAAGAACTGTGTATCTCGAAAATCCAAATGAAACCAACTGAAATGATATGAGTGAACCCCCAAACCCGTGCACTTTGTGTGACTAAAATGGCTGCCCTACATCTAAACTAAACTCCATTTTGAATCAAACTGCAACCTGGCCTAAAATCTCTGCTTCTGGTGCTTTGAAGAGTCAATTCAGCTTCTTGTAAAATTCTAACTGCTTGTAACCCAAAAGGAGCAAGGGTCAAGATTTCAGTTTGTGCAAGGAATTGTTTGTTAAAAGTTGTTGAGAGTGTTTGTGCACCTTGATCCAAGAATGACTTGGTCAACATGTCCCAGGAGGTTAGGAAACAGAAATGACAATGTTGAGGACTGTAATTTAACCTCCTTGTAACTTTTTGTCACGTTTCCCCTTGTACTTGTGAGCATGTTGCTGTTGTTAGGTGCCACTGAGTTGGATTCGACTCATATAGACCCTGTGCACAACTAAACAAAACACTGCCCCATTCTCCGCCATCTTCAGAATCGCTGCCATGCCTGAGCCCACTGTTGCAGCCTGTGTCAACCCATCTCACTGAGAGTCTCCCTTTTTCAGAGACCCTCCACCTTACCAAGCATGACATCCTCCTTCAGGGAATGGTCCTTTCTGACAACATGACCAAAGTGGGTGAGATGAAGTCTGGCCATTCTTGCTTCCAAGGACCATTCGGCTGCACTCCAGGGGAGAGTTGTTTGTTCTTCTAGCAGTCCAAGGTATTTTCAGTATCCTTTGCCAGTGCCATAATTCAAAGGCATCAACTCTTCTTCAGTCTTCCTTCTTCACTGTCCAGGCTTCACATGCAAACTGAGGTGACTGAAAATACCATGACCTGGGTTAGGCTTCAAAATGACATCTGCTCTTCAATACTTTAAAGAGGTCTTTTGTAGATTTGCCTAGTGCAGTATGACGACTGATTTCTTCACTGCTGCTTCCATGGGTGTTGATTGTGGATCAAAGTAAAACAGAATTCTTGATAACTTTAATCTTTTCTCCATTAATCATGATGGTGTTTCTTCGTCCACTTGTGATGATTTCTGTTTTCTTTTTCTTGAGGTCTAACACACACTGAAGGCTTCAGTCTTTGATTTTCATCAGGAAGTCCTCTTCACTTTCATCAAGCAAGGTTGTGTCATCTGCATATCAGTTGTTAACAAGTCTTCCTCCAATCCTGATGCCACATTCCTTATATAGTCCAGCATCTTGGATTATTTGCTCAGCATACAGGTTGAGTAAGTATGGTGAAAGGATGTAACTCTGATGTATACCTTTCCTGATTGTAAGCCACGTAGTATCACCTTGTTCTGCCTTTATTTTATTCCACCTGACAAAAATCTTGCTCTCTTCTTTTTTTATTTAATGCATTTTATTGAAATATAATTAATGTACAGTGAAATACACAAAACTAAAGTGACACGGGTCAATGCTTTTTTTTTTTTTTTTTGCAGTGTTCCTTCCCCTCCACTTCCACCCCTGGCAACCAACTAAGAAAGTTTCCGTCCATACATAAACTTTTCCTTGGCCCTCCACAACAACGAACTAATACTGTATTTGTCCTTCTGTGATTGACTTATTTCACTTAGCATTAAGTCCTCCAAGTTCATATTATGCAGTGTTTCACAGACTCTACATTATTCTTTAGTACTGCATAGCATTCCATTATGTGTATGTACCATAGTTTGGTCATCTACTCTTCTGTTATAAATTTTTGAGATATGTCCCTTGCCAGATATGTAATTATCAGCAAATATGAATTTGTTGCTGTCATTTTTGTTATTTGCTTTTTCGTGGTGTTGATTTCTTTGTTCCATATAATTTTCTATGCTGAATTTTGTTTTGTTTATGAATCGTGTTAACACTTCCTTCATTGTTATTGTTTTAGTATTTGCTGAGTATTTATGCTGGTCCTCTTTTTTGATGTGAAGGTTTGTCATTTTCTTTGAGGTTACCCTGTGATTTATAGTTTTCTTCCCAAGTTTAGAACAGTCTGTTCTATCTTATAGTTGTCTTGACTTCTCTACCATCTAGAAGTTCTGTAACGACACAGTTTTTTCCCTTTTTTTGGTTTGTAGCTGTCCTCAATTGTCAATTGATATCTCTGGTTCCCTGTTTACCAACTTGTAGGCTTATTTACTTTG